TATTTACTCGGGGTATCGGTTCTCCGTTTTCGATTTCTTCTACGTAGCATTTTGGGCAGACAAAATCTTTTCCTTTCCTATTCATTTTCTCATTAAAGAGAGCACATATCTGGTGTTGCCTATAAAGTTATATGAACGAATATCATTATCTTCAAGTGAGTAAGTACACAAGTCTCAAGGAGAACATTTATAACTATGATTACAGCTGTAACTAATTCTGTAACTAACTTCAACAAACTGAAACTTCTCCAACTGCTTAGCTGCAACGTATCAACTCTCAGCTGCATGCGCGTCCATCATGCACAACAGCTCTCAGCTGTACGTGTGCTCAGCATGTCCCATGCACAGCACGCAACTGCATTCATTAACACTAATATTCCCCTTTCACCTTCATCTTCAACAATTCAACTGCACATCAACACTAACATTCCCCTTGCAACCTTCAACTTCAAAGCCTCCTTCAAAATTCATCTGCACGAATGTTCATCATGTCCTTATGCATAGTAACTGCACAACAACAACATTCATCAACACTAATATTTCCCTTTCAACCTTCAACTTCAAAGCCTCCTTCAAAACTAATTTGATATGCTTTTAAGCTGCACCACCAGCAACCATTGTCTATGTTTGAAGAATAAAGGTGGTGACAAAGGCTTGGTCAGCACATCAGCAACCTGCTCAACTGCAGGAACTTCATGCACTTGTAGCTTCCCCATAGCCACCATTTCTCGAACAAAAAACAAGTCTAGCTCAACATGTTTAAACTTGGAATGAAGTACAAGATTAGCACATACGGCGAATGCACTCGTATTATCACACCATAACATGGTCTTTCCATGCGAAACTACATGCAGTTCCCCCAACAGTGATCGAAGCCACACCATTTCAGCAGCTACACAAGCCACACTTATGTACTCGGCCTTAGCAGTTGACCGTGAAACAACCTGTTGCTTTCGAGAGCTCCACGAGACCAAATTTCCACAAAGATATATGCAAAACCCAGATGTCAATTGCCTATCATCAACATCTGACCCCCAATTTGCATATGCAAATCCAGTCAAAGCCATTCTCGAGGAGGATGTAAAACGTAGCCCAAAGTCAACGGTACCTTGTAGGTTACAAAGAATTCGCTTGACTGCCTGAAAGTGAACATCTAGTGGGGCTTGCATGAATTGACACATTCTATTCACAGCAAACGCCACATCAGGCCGAATAATCACAATGTACTACAGAGCACCTACTATGCTTCTGTATCGTGTAATATCTTCAAGTGGAGTTCCTTCCTTAGCAAACAGTTTGACATTGGAGACCATGGGGGTGGGAAGGCTTTTCACTTCACCAAAGTCATGCTTCTGTAAAAGGTCTTGAATATACTTCTGTTTACTCAAGACAACATTGCCACCTTCATAACTAACTTCCACTCCTAAGAAAAAAATTAAAGGTTCAAGATCCTTTAATGAAAACTGAGTGTTCAGTTTGTCTATAACCTGTTGAACAACCACTTCTTTATCACATGTTAAGATAATGTCATCAACATACACCAACAAGTGCACCAAACTATCCAAGGTCTTTTGAACATAAAGTGAAGTATCCGACTTAGTTAGACAAAAACCTTCAGATTCTAGGTATGTCTTCAGTCGTTCAAACCAGGCCCTCGGTGCTTGTTTCAGCCCATAAATCGCCTTGTGTAGCTTACATACCAGCTCACCATTGCCTTGCTCATACCCTGGTGGTTGAGTCATGTATACCTATTCAGTGAGCAACCCATTCAAAAATGCATTATTGACATCAATCTATTTCAGCTTCCACCCTCGTGACAATGCCAAGGAAATAATTATCCTAATCGTTGTAGGCTTGACCACCGGGCTGAAGACTTTATCAAAATCAATTCCTGGTTCCTGAAGGAAACCCTTTGCCACTAAATGTGCTTTATATCTTGATATCGAACCATCATCATTTCGCTTTATTCGAAAAATCCATTTACAGTTTACTGCCTACCTATCTCTAGGAAGAGGAACTAATGTCCACGTGCCATTCCGTACCAGAGCATCAAACTCAGCTTGTGCAACTGCTTTCTAATGAGGACTCATCGAGGCCTCTTTGATATTCATTGGTTCTCGATCTGAACTTACAATATTATAAAATTTCGGCTTCCAAATTCCATGCTTGCTTCTGGTCATCATAGGATGTGCATTAGAACCTGCCTGTGGTACATCATTCTCCTCATTGTCTTGAACTCCAACGCATGTTTCTACTGTACCAGGAGACACCAACTCACCTTTAGCAGTTAACACTCCTTGTGAAGAAACCACCTCAGTTGGGGCCAAATTTGGTAACTCATTACCCAATGTAACATGTTGCTCATCTTCAAGTAACCTGCTATCAGTTGTTTCTTCCATTCGAATGTTGCTGCCATCACAACTCTATTCATGAACTTCATCTGAGTTGCCCCTACTACTTTCATTGTTTGTATTCACCATGTGATGTAATTCCTCAGCTTGACCAATACTTCTAGCACCTTCACACGTTCCTTGAAGGGTTTGTTATGATGCAAACTACATGTAACTGTCCAGTCGTGACAGTCTCTTCTCTATGGCAACTGCACACATGTTGGTTCTTAACAAAGTGAAACACTTGTTCATCAAACCTCAAATGGCGAGACACAAAAATTCTACTATCACTATCTAAGCATTTATACCCATGATGTGAGGTGCTAAGCCCAAGAAACACACACTGTCTGGATCGAAAATCCAATTTATGTTGATTAAATGGTCTCAAGAAAGGAAAACAAGCACACCCGAATACTCTTATACCCGAGTAGTCAGGAGCTTTTTGATAGAGGACCTCAAATGGAATTTTACCTGATACAGTCTCGGTTGGTAGTCTGTTAATGATGTACACTGCCATAGTAAATGCATGAATCCAGAACTTTGTTGGTAGTGATGCTTGAGCCAACATGGCTAGTCTCATCTCAACAATGTGTTGATGTTTGCGCTCAACCTTCCCATTTTTCTCTAATGTATTGGGACAGAAAATTTGATGTTGAACACCATTAGTAAAGAACCAATTCTTTAGAGCTTGGTATTCACCTCCACCATCGCTCTGCAGAGCCTTGATTTTCTTCCCAAACTGAACCTAAACTATTTTAACGAGATTGAGAAAACATTGACTGACTTCAGACTTCTTTTCGATTAAATATACACAGGTATGTCTGCTAAAAACATCAATAAATGAAACATAATACAAGTAACCTTCAGTCGAAACCACAGGTGCAGGCCCCCATATATCTGATACAACCAGCTGAAAATTTTCTTTATATTCAGTCAACGAATTACAAAAAGGCAGCTTATGAGCCTTGCCTTACAAACATGCAGAACAAACATTATTCAATTTGTTTTCGCTAGAAGAAACATTACACGTCTTCATAATATCTTTGACAGTTTTCACACAAGAATGCCCCAAACGCCTATGCCACAGTTCCAAAACACTTGAAGCCTTTGACACATTGTTCACCATACAACTCGACTTGCTTTCTTCATATGGTAGCAGTTGGTACAACCTTTCATGTGTGAGCTTCCCTCTCAATAGAACGGTCCGAGTATGTGCATCCTTCACAAGGCATTTAAATTGATGAAACTTAATAAACATATTGTTATCACGAGTGAATTGAGATACTGACAATAATTTCTTCTTAATATGTGGAACATGTAGCATGTTTTTAACACCAGAGGTTTGAGACTAGAAGACAGAAAACCTTGGCCAACATGGTCAATCTCAATCCCTTCACCATTTCCCATTAAAAGTGTATTGTTACCTTTGTATACCATACCTGAATTGAATGGTACAAGGTCATTTGAAACATGATAAGTGGCATCTGTTTCTAGATATCACAATGCATTGGAATGTTTTGGTGCATTATGAACTGCTGCCATACTAGGCACAATGGATACAAAAGCTGTAGGTGCAGTTTGTACAAATGATTTTTGTCATTCTGTTGGTGCGGGATGAGCTACACATTCCCCAGGAAAAGTGTACATTACCTGATTTGAGGAATAGGGTAATCCTTGACGAGTCGATGCATAAGGCATAATATACATAGAACTGTATGGATAGTGATTGAAACCAAGAGAATTCAACGTGTGATTATACGCATGCCTATTCACAGGAACAACCTGCTCAACTGGCTTCTTCTATTGCTCAGCAGGATGATCTTCACTGACAACTCCAGTGAAATCTCAGTCAAAACGATGATAGTACCCCTGAGCAATGTGCCCAGACTTTCCACATAACTGGCACTGTGGTCGATTTGAGTGATTAAACCTTCATCGCCCTCAACCACGATAACCTCCCTATTGACCTCTCATGGGATAAAACTGTTTTTCAGTTACATCTGCTTCAGTGACAGCCTGATCCCTCGACCCATTCTCATCTCTTGAACGAAAAACCATATTCGCATCAATACCATCACTTAAAAAGCTTTATGCCTTGCCACAAAGTCCAGGAGCATTTCTGTGAGATTATCCAATGATACTATCTCGCGAGATGCTATAGCAATGATAGATTCAAACTCCATTGATAACCCAACAAGAATCACAATTACTTGTTCTTGTTCAGATACAACACAACCAACAACATTCAACAAGTCACAGATTGTCTTGATTTTGGCTAGATAATCACTCACATTCAAGCCATCTTTCCTCTGAGAGTGCAAAATGTGTCTTAGAGAAGAAATCTTGGCACTAGAATGTACTCCAAACATTCTTGACACTGCATTCCAGATTGTACGAGATGATGTGAACCCCGTAAGGTGTGGCAGAACCTCCATGCTAATCGTTATCAACAACTATTAAGAAAGCAATTTGTCTTGTTGCCTATGCACAATAAAGATTGGATTTTTCTCAAGCTGTCCTGACTCATTTGTAAAAAATTGAGATGAAGTAGGATTATCACCCGAGATATAAGCCAACAAACCATAGCCATCAATTATAAGTGTCACCTGATGCTTTCAAAGAAGGTAGGTTAACTCAGTAAGCTTTATAACATCCTGTTTAGGTATTCAGCGGAGACTGAACACCAGCTTGATGTAGGTCCACCATTTTCCAAAGAACTTTCAGAAAAAACCTTCAAGAATCCTCAAAAAGCAACCACTGAAGCAAGAAAGAACAAGAACAAATCAAGAAGCGCATGACCATTTTGGCGAATGATACCATGTAAAGTTATATGATCGAATATCAAAACTATGAAAGCATGAACAAAACTAAATAAAAGAAACTTCTGAATTTCATTATCTTCAAGTGAGTAAGTACACAAGTCTCAAGGAGAGCATTTATAGCTAGGATTACAGCTGTAACTAATTCTGTAACTAACTTCAACAAACTGAAACTTACCCAACTGAGCTGCAACGTATCAACTCTCAGTTGTATGCGCATCCATCATGCACATCATCTCTCAACTGTACGTGTGCTCAACATGTCCCATGCACAGCACACAATTGCATTCATTAACACTAACATTGCCAACATTTACATTTATCACACTGAACTCACTGCAAGGTAACAACATTAGAAAGTAAGTGTTTTGGTTTGAAATTTCAGTGAATTAGCTTACCCATTCTTCCAGTTCATCATCATTCTTCATTTTAATGAAAAAGATTTCCCGGAAGATGTGATGCCCTGAGCCCGACATACGTTATAGCATGAGGAACAAAGAAAATGTATGATGCCATTTGCTTCAGTTATGACTTCAGGTATGCTATAAATATATTGCATTGAGTCTCATACAAGTACAACATGACGAACAATATATTGGTGCAGGAGAAAGTGAAAGCTTAACTTCTCCACCCAACAGGCAAGACTCCTTACCGTCGACTATTCCGTTTTCCCATTCTTTCTTTCCAATATCCTAGTTTTGTAAGAGAATGCCGTGTCAATGTAGCTTCATGAGCAAATGCAAAATCTAATTTTGTAAACATGGTATCACCATCAAGTATAATATAGATAGCTAACTTGAGGAAGATAAACTTCCCTGAACAATATTAACACAACAAGAACCAGCAACTTTGAAAACGATTCGATAGACTCTGTGCAATTATGCATATCCTTCAAGCATAACTTCTGTCCAATTCATGCAACCCCTATACCCGGCCTGGAAGCTATGACCAAATCTTAGCGATTACATATCGTATTCAAAAATTCTTTTCATATTTAAAACAACTTTAAAATCCATATAATAGTATAATATAGAATTAGTCATAAGAAAGATTCATACCATATATATATATATATCATAAAACTATATAAAATATATACATAACAAAATATCGGTAATACAAATATACCAAGATAGTAGCAAAAACATGTGTCACCAAAGTATAACTAAAGGCATATAGAGATAAATAGTGGTACAAAAATAGGATTAGTTGGTTCTCCTGATGCCAAGTCTGCTAGTCTACGATCTGTTACTATCTGAAAAAGTCAAAATTTACAAAATGAGTTAAATAACCCAGCGTGATCCTTACGATGTATAAAAACATACATATATAAAATACTTCGGTAAAAAAATAGTTCATCAAGCATGCTTTAAAAATATGAAACTACCCCATCCAAACACTAGAATGTGTAGGATCCCCAGAACCATACACCCATATGTACACCCGATAAGGGCCTTATACATATAGCATAAGGACCTACGGTAAGGACTTACCATGTACACAAAGCAGATAATTTTGCTGTAAGGTCTTATAATTCATAGACTAGACGTGATATACTTCCTCCAATAATACCCCAAATGATAGTAATAAACATGTATGTATTCGAGTGAAAACGGTAGTTTAATCCATTAAAACATAAAAATATTCCATAATCAGAAATTAGATACAAAAATACAATAATTAGAGATCATATTAGAAATATACAGTAAATTAGATATCAGATAAAAATATTCAGAAAATCAGGTATTGTGTCATAAAAATATTCGATATAATCAGAAATCTAAAACAGTTCAAATAAATAGTTTAAAATAGTAATGTAACGCCATCAAGAAACACATATGTACCAGTCTAAGTAGTCTGATAGGAAAGTCTACTACTGAGTCTGCCGATAATGATCAGCGGCAGCACTAGATCCTATGAATCAGAAAATCTATATCAAAATCCTAATATGAATAATAATAACCTATATTTAAACAATTTACAGAAACCTATGAATAACTCTTGAAGAACGCGAATCGAGCGGATATAACAGACGGGAAGTACTGGATCTAATCGATCATCGGTCGGGGGAAACACAAATACCTTCATAAAATTCTATACTCGAATCAATTCCATAATTAAACCTCAAATAAGCAAAAATGCTAAAAATACCAAGCATTTCGGATTACTGGGCTTAATTCGGGGCTTTTGGGTTAGAATTTGGCAAAACGAATCGTAAAATCAGACTTAGGACATAAAAAAAGTCAAGTTAGAGGTTTTTAGAAAAACTCAACAGTGGCCAACGATCAACAGCCGGTCAACGGTCAATGGTCAACTGCTGACCGGTTCGGTTCGAGTTGGACCGAGTCGGGTCGGACAGATCGGGTAGGTGGGTCGGGCAGTTTCTAGAAGCCCACCAGGTGGTGAACCTTTCCCACGCGCAGTGACGGCGTGTGGGGGTGCATGCGGGGCCTTTCAGGATAGTAAAAATAGCGAAAAAAATTCATATATGCTTTTAAGGGGTTTTAAGACGCTTACCAAGTTCAGTTCACAGTGGTGAACGGCAGAGAGCTCGATTTTACAACGTCAGAAACTTGATCTTCCTCACCCCGTCACATACTGGAGGCAACGGAGACAATATGAACATCGGTGTACTCAGGATAACATGAGAAACACGATGGTGCAAGAAGTGTTGAAAATGGAACAATGGTCAACAACAAAAAGTCAATTGAAGTTTCTTGCTAAAAGAAGAAAACTTGAAGAGAGAATGAGGTTTCTAAATGAGGAAATTTTCCAAATTTGGGGGTTATATATTCCTTAAAAAGAAAAATGATAAAATTATGCCATTGATCCTCGAGTTTTAGTTGCTTTTTGAATTTGGATCCGAATTTAATCAAAATTTCACTTCGGTCCCCAAATTTAATTAAACTTTCAATTTAGTCATCAGAATAAATTTTATGAAAATTTTAGACCCTAATTTGGGTGTGACAACTCTCCTCCCTTAAAAGAAATTTTGTCTTTGAAATTTACCTGATGGAAATAGATGCGAAAATTGAGCCTCCATCGACTTCAATGTCTCCCAAGTAGCATCTAAGGGGCCACAGTTACTCTATTGAACTTTGATCATTAGAATACGCCTATTCCGAAGAACTCTCTCATCCCGATCTAAAATCTGAATGTGCTCCTCTTCATAGGACAAATTAGGTCTCCACTCTACCTCCTCAACTTGAATGATGTGACTTGGATTTAGACAATATCGCCTTAACATGGATACATGAAAAACATCATGAATTTGACTAAGCTAGGGAGTCAACTAAAGTTGATAAGCAACAAGTCGGACTTCCTTCAGAATACGATACAACCCAATAAATCTCAGACTAACTTACCATTACGTCCAAATCTCAGCACCTTCTTCCACGATGAAACCTTCAAAAAAACCTGATCCCCAACCTCAATCTCGACTTCTCTATCCGATGGCAATCCAGGCAATTCTTCAGGGAAAATATCGAGAAATTCCTTAAAGGTCTGGATGCCTTCAATGCCAGATCGAGAACTCGTAGTATCCAAAATATAAGTAAAAAACACCTTGGAACCCTTCCTGATCATCCTCTCAGCTACCAAAGAAGACACAACATTCGTCAGGAATCCTCAACTTCCTCAATCATCACAATCATCCGGGAACAACTCTCTTAGTCTCACAATCGAGATTAACTCGATGCTTGCTCAACCAATCCATACCAAGAATCAAGTCAAACTCTTCCAAAGATAACTCCATCAGGTCCTCCATAAAGATCTCCCCATGGATCTCTATGGGACACCATCTAAAAATACAATCTAACTCTATAGACTGACCTACGAGACTCTGAACTGTCACCGAACTCTCAATATTCTCAACTAGAATATTAAGGCCCCTAGAATTGACTGAACTACGACCCATGTTGGAGTCTGAACTATTCTCTGAGTACGAGCGGGGGTACGAGTTGATGTCTAAACTGTAGGAGTTAGCTATGGACAATCCCTCAGGAGATGGTCACCATAACCACATCTAAAATAGGTACCCAAATTCTTCCTACATTCACCAAAATGATGTCTCCCACAGTGCTCACATAACGGCAAAGGCTGCAAACCAAAAGAACCACCCTAACTAGAAGGCGTTATAGCTGATGAACCTGATGCCACAGGCCTGGAACTCGTAACATCTCTCTGAAAAGACTCACCCCTGCCTATCTTGTTGAGGCGTGCAAAAGAGTCAACAGAACCAAAAGACCTCTTGAATCAGTCTTGGTCTCGGTCTCTATCTCTCCTGTGCTCTATACTCACTTGCTCTATCTCTTTAACGATCTTGGCTATCTCAAATAAGACATCAAAGTTCCTCTCTCGGTGGGTGGCAACTTGACTCTTGATCTCATACCTGAGTCAATTCTCGAATCTCAAGCACTGATCCAACTCAGTGTCAACCAACCCAGTAGCATAGCGACTCAATCTGATAAATTCAATCTCATAATCCATAATAGACATATCACCCTGCTCTAAATTCTAAAACTCCTGGCGTCGCTCCTGCATGTATCTCTCTTTAATATAGCGACTCCGAAAACATGTAATGAAAATATCCCAAGTCAACTGATTTTCCGGAATACTACAAAAAATTGATTGCCACCATATAAAACTCTCTTTCTTCAGCATAGCTAGGGCCCCCTTAACTTCTTCTTAGGCCTCAAATTCATCTCATCTATAATCCTCTCTGTATCCTACAACAAATACTCAACGTCAGTCCGAGGTCCACCAGTAATGCCCTCAAACAAAATTACTCCAGCAACTACCAATGACTTTGAAATATCAACAACAGACATATTACCAGGGACTCTAGCAACTCTCCTGAACATATGAAAGACAACACTATTAATGGCATCCTCATCCATATCAGTGTCATCATCCTCAGTGACGGGAGGGTCTCTCGTAGGTGTAACTGATTATCACGAAAAATTGACGGATCTACATGCTGAACAGTAGGATCTCGAGGTGACATCAGATTATCTATCATAATAGAAGGTCGAGTCGCTCGCCCTCGACCACATCCTGGCCTATGACCTATAGTAGCACTCATCGGATAAATCTATAAGGCTCACAGAAAGAATTTGAACCTAAGTTAGACTAGCATCAGAGAACTCGATTATATTTAAAACTCATAAAATAAGGTGATACGTTTTTTGAAAATATCAAAAATATCTTGAAAATTCATATTTTAGGACATCCACAGTCCGAGTGTTTAAAATTGAAAACTCTGATACCACCAAGTGTAACCCCTTAGACCCGACTTGGACGTTATGATCAAATCTAGACTATTACATAAAGCTAAAATTCATATAATAGTATAATATGTAATTAGTCATAAAAAAGATTCATATGATAAACATATATACATATATAAAAAATTGTATAAAATATATATAGAACAAAATACTGGTAATATAGATATACCAAGACAGTAGCAAAAACACGTGTCACCAAAGTATAACTAAAGACATAAAGATATACAGTGGTACAAAAATAGTAGTATTCCGTCCTCCTGATGCCAAGTCTGCTAGTCTATGGTCTGTTACTATATGAAAAAATTAAAATTTACAGAATGAGCTAAGTAGCCCATTGTACTCCTTATGGTGTATAAAAGCATACATATAAAATACTTCAGTAAAAAAATAGTTCATCAAACATGCTTTAAAAATGTGAACACTATCCCAATCCGAACACTAGAATGTGTATGCTCCCCAGAACCATACACTCACCTGTACACCCGGTAAGGGCCTTATACATATAACATAAGGACCCGTGGTAAGAACTTACCACGTGCATAAAGCAGAGGAGCCTGCGGTAAGGTCTTACAAGTCATAGACTATGCCTGATATACTTCCTCCAATAATACCCTTAATGACATTAATAAACATGTATGTATTCGAATGAAAACGATAGTTTAATCTATTAAAACATGAAAATATTTCATTCTAAAAAATCAGATACCGAAATACAATAACCAGAGATCATATCAGAAATATACAGTAAATCAGATATCAGATAAACAATATTCAGAAAATCAGGTATCGTGTCGTAAAAATATTCAGTATCATTAGAAATCTAAAACAATTCAGATAAATAGTTTAAAACAGTAATGTAACACCATCAGGAAACACACCTGTATCGGTTTGAGTAGTCTGATAGGGAAGCCTACTACTGAGTCTGTCAATCATGATTAGCGACATCGCTAGATCCTACGAATCGGAAAATCTATATCAGAATCTTAATATGAATAATAATAATAATCTCTATTGAAACAATTTACAGAAACCTATGAATAACTCTCGAAAAATATGGATCGAGCGGATTTAACGGACGGGAAACACTGGATCTAATTGAGCCTCGGTTGGGGGAAACATGAGTACCTTTATAAAATTATATACTCGAATCAATTCCATAATCAAACCTCAAATAAATAAGTAAAAATGATAAAAAAAAAAAGACTAAGCATTTTTGGATTAATGGGCTTGATTCGGGGTTTTTTCGGTCATAATTTGGTAAAACGAATCACAAAATCGGACTCAGGATGTCGAAAAACGTCACGATGGAGGTTTTTAGAAAAATGTCAACGATGGCCAACGATCAAAGTCAATAGTCAAAAGTCAACGGTTGATCAACGGTCAATGGTCAACGGTTGACCGGTTCGGTTTGGTTTGGATCGAGTCGAGTCGGGTAGGCGGGTCGAGCAGCTTTTAGAAGCCCACCAGGCAGTGGACTTTCCCTACACGTAGCGGCGAAGCGTGGGGGCGTGTGTGTGGCCTTCTGGGGGGTCAAAAAAAATTTATATATGCTTTTTAAGGGGTTTTAAGACACTTACCAAGCTCGATTCACAGCGATGCATGACGAAGAGCTCGATTTTGCAACGTCGAAAACTTGATCTTCCTTACCCCTTACACGCCGGCGGCAACAGAGACAATGAACACCGGTGGACTCGGGACGATGCGAGGAACACGATAGTGCGGGAGGTGTCCAAAACGAAAAAACGGTCGGCAACGAAACTCGATTGAAGTTTCTTGCTAAAAGAGGAAAGCTTAAAGAGAGAGAATGAGGTTTCCAGATGAGGAAAATTTCTAGATTTGGGGTTATATATTCCTTAAAAATGAAAATGGTAAAATTATGACATAGTTCTCTAGTTTTAGTTTCTTTCTGAATTTGGATCTGAATTTAATCAAAATTTCACTTTGATCCCTAAATTTAATTAAACATTCAATTTAGTCCTCAGAATAAATTTTAAGAAAATTTTAGGCCCTAATTTGGGGTGTGACAATTCATACTGAGTAAAGTTAAAGCAATTTTAAGTAGATGATTGAAGTAGAATATCCGCTAATCAAAACAGCACAATATGGAAAATAAAAGCAATAAACAACAATGAAATCACAAACCTAGTCAATGCCCTCCCTGAGACTTGATATATGCTCCATTATCTGCTCTCCTGTGAAATTTCTACCAAGGACACACCTCTTCGTTTTCGACTATCGAATGTTATTTCCTTTCTGCAATTTGATTCTTGCACAATAAGCTCAGTCTTTGTTTGTAGCTCTGCATCACAACCAGCTGCAAGTTCTAAACACTTTGGCGACTTCCCCAAGGGTCGAATCTCGGCAAAACTTGGTTGAGCCTTCAATGGAGCCATTGCATAAAACATACCATTTTTCGGATTCAAACGCTTTGGCAATGGTTGCATGGCTTCTGAAGTACCACATCCGGGCTGACCGGAATCTCCTTTACCCGAAACTGTTCCAAGACCTCTTTTTACATGTTGAAAGTCAGGACTAAATCTATCAGTTAAAGGACTATGCCTACGAGGACTGCAAATTCTACATGTAGCATCTCGACAGCCATCGTAATGTGATACGAGTCGCAAAATCTGCGGGCATTTGCAGATACACCGAGAACAGACTTTTAAATGCAGACAGTTCATAAAGAAAACAAAGCATCATACCGGGGAGTCATCACTAAATTCTTATGCTTTATGTAAGCAAGTAAAACCTTCTTCTGGATAATCTGCTGTATCTGATCTATCGAATTTGCCTGTGATTCTTCTAAAGGGAGCTGAGGAGGATGGCCATGAGTCCCATCTTGTTCATTTATGGGACAGATAGATTGACTTTGTCCGGTTAACGAGAGCCTAGTAAGACCACTTGTCGCTTCTCGTTCATTTACGAGACGAAAAGACTGATCTTGTCCATTTAAAGGACATATGTCTTCAGCTTCAAGGGGCCTTTGAGTTTGCAAGTTTGGAACAATAGTTGAAGGAGTCATTGTCGACTCCACGCCAAGCCGTATATTCGGAACGACAGAGCGAACCATCCTGCCCCCTGCACTGTAACCAAGTTGGAGAACTCCTTAATCCAACCAGAATTCTACACAAGAACATTATTACCAATGTATCATTCATTCATTCATTCAATTTCAGATCATCACAAACAAAAACTAATTGGTTATTCAACGAAGTCTCATTTACAGTTAACTTCCTTTGTGGGAAAGACAACTTGATACAAAACCCCCAACGAAGAACAAATTGTACAAAACCCTAAAAACCCTATCTCCAGTAAACAAAAATATCTTGGAAAAAAAGACTCTCCTCCGAGAAGTGAATGAGGAGAGTATGAGACGAATAGAGTAACAAGGAACAGAATCCAAAAATCGAAATCGAATATAGTAAGAATGATTCAGAGAGCAGATAGTTTCATAATCCCATTTCAGAAGTATAAATCTTCACGTTAAGTTGAGGGTTTCAAAAGTTACCGTATTTGATTGATCGCTTTATAGGAAGCTTGGGATGCAAGAAAGACGAGGCCGGCACGAAGATAGATAGAGCACTGATGAGAGGGAAATATTTGATAGAATTTTATTTTATTTTTTTATATTTCTTAAATTACCCTTAAGTTCATATTGATTATTGTATAACATGTAAGGAAATAATAAATTTATATTTTTAATGAATTCATCAAGTATTCTTAGTGATAAACACGATGACATATTTATTAGTAATGATTATAAAGAAAAAATACTGGTAAAAAGATCTAGTGTACTTTGATATCACTCCTCATTCAATTTGTCCTAGCACACCCTAATTTGATTTCGTAACGTGTCTAAGTATAATTATGCAAAAGCTAGTATGTTATGGTGTTTTACCTATGCTCTCAGAGTATGTTCATATGAATCATTTCTACTTTTTATAATGTTTGAATGACTTGTCTCACTGAGATTTTTAAGCTTACTTCGGTATTTTTCATGGAATTATAAAAATTATTAGTTTTGATTTTATCAAATTGATTTATTTTGAGAGATATAGCCATTTTCTATATTTATGTAGCTTTGGGATTTATGTTATAAAGATGGTTTTGTAGGGATATTTAGAGAGTAATTTGATATACTTCAGATTTAAAAATAGATATTGGATTTTAAGATATATGAGATAATTGTGTATTTGTACATTTCTTGATCTCTACATTTATAATGGACTATTGTTATCCTCGCCCGTGAAGGTAGACAAGGCCGAATCACATTAAATTTAATCACTTGTGTATGTCTTATTTTGCGTTGATTTGGTTTTGGTTATTTATCTGTTTTCAAATTCCTAAGTCATTGTTAGCAATTTTGAGGACATGCGAGAAGAATTTTAATGAGTAATTTTCAATCGATCTAGTGGTTCTTCAACATGTATTACTTAAGAATTGAAGTTGTTGAAGGTTTATCAGAGATGCTTGAATTTGTGGAGAGGTATAAATTCTATCAGAGAATATTAATTGAAATTTTCTATAAGTGAATATGCTCAAATATCTTGCAATTGTTAGTGCTCGAACCCAAGACCTCTAAAAATAATAATCATTCCTTTTATTATTGAAGTCACTTAGTTCACGTATACTCTCTCAATGAGGTAAGAAAGTTTATTAATTCAATGTTACAAGACATTTATGTATAAAATTATTTGTTTCTTATTACCTAAGATGTTGTGTAAGAAATTGGAAGCTATATAATTATATGATACTGGTGGAAAAAGTCTATGAACAAGCACAGAATTTATTGTTGTTTATGGTATTAAGTATGTTGTGTGAAAAAATGTGGTGGTACCAATTTTAGAGGCTTCCCTAAATTTAATAGAACTCTTTTGGCTAAACAGGGATAATGCCTAATTTGATATTCTTCTTCATTTGTGGGTAAACTATTAGATGCTAAGTATTACCCATCTACGGATTTTATGAATGAAAGATTAGGTTCACATCCTTCCCTACTTTAGAAGATTATTTCAAGGGTTAAAGATCTACTTAAATTTAATCTAATTTACCGATGAGGGTTGGTTCAAGTGGTAAGCAGTTTGATATCGCTTAAATATATTTCATGTTAGAGTTCTTGTATATGCATAAAATACCTATCTAGAGACTCATCAACTAATACTAAGTGTGTTACACAAATCAGTCCAGATTAATCAGGGCAAAACATTCGGGTATCAACTACTAAGTGACGTGCCTATGGTGAATCTTAATGATATATCACTATACTATTATGGAAAAAGTGCATATCTAGTGATAGAGGATAATTTGGGCATTGTAATTTTCCTGGAACAAAAGAACCTTTAGGGCACTATTCATAGAGTTTAAGATCTCCTTACCTTTGTGTGTATCTATTATCTATTGCTTGGCTCTGCTATCTTTTGGCACCATACATGTAATCTCAGTTTTTAGATTATGGTGTAACGAGTATCTCTTTGCTACTATTTTTAAAATTAAATATAAAGGTTTGTTTGTTCTATTGTAATTGGTTTTTCGAAAAAAAGATGTCTTTTTTTTTTAATATTTGGTTTGTGGAAAACATATAATCAATGTAATTCATTTTCTTAATCATCAAAATTTCGTTTGTATTTTCTGGAAAATGACTTACAATATGATTTTTCATAAATCGTTTTCCGAACTTTTCACTTTAAAACATAAATACTCAAAATAATATTATTTTATGTATTTACTATTAATATACTATTTTAGTACCATTTAATAAAAATATAAATTATGAAACTATATTTATTGATAACTTTAATAATATCATATAATATTTTTTGGTTTTATAATAATATATTTAATTATAATATAATAATAGTATATTCTTATTTTAATAATATATAATAAATTATGTTATTTATAATAGAAATAATATTTTAATAATAAAATTGACATTAATAAAATTAAATAAATTATTTGAAAATAATATTTTTTAATAAATACTTTATTATATTCGATATTTATATCAAATAGTTTCTAAAAAGTTATCATGAAAAAAGATTTACACTGTATAATCCAATCACTGTATAATGATTTTCAAAAATGATTTTTCTATGAATATAATTTAATTTCCGGAAATTATTTTCTAAAATCTATTTTCCTTAAAACAAACCCACCCTAAATATAAGTTGTTCTTCGGAGAGTTTAAACTGTACAGAAATCATAGACGTTGAAGGTCTAATTTTAAGGAATCTTTGGTCATGATACATGGTCTACAACTCGTGATTGATTTGGGCTTTTGATCTATTTAATTAGAAAATGACTATTTGTCAGTTAGTACCAAGTTAAAGTCAACAATGGTGGACTTATCGGAGATTAGTACCTTTGCCTGAGATGAAAGAATGATGTTGAGTGACTTTCAAGATTGTTGGTTCGACTTCGTTCCACGATAGAGGAATCAAGTAGCACATACGATAACAAAAGAATAAATCTGGTTGTCGACCGATGAGTCTTGGGTAGAAGAAACTCCGATGCCAGTAATGTTATTAGCGGCAGAAGATAAAAAAAAATAGTAATAGTTAGATCTATCTTGAGAAAGACTTTTAAGATTGATTCTAAAGTTAGGAAAGTTGAAAAAAAATAGTTTCTCTTCACCTTTTCTTCGTGTGGCGTGCTCGATCATTGTCTATTTGCTTTCACCGGAGGATTTGGCATTCTGATTCATGTTCTGTGTAGAAAAAGTCCTTATTTTCTTAGTTGGATAGTTGTTGAACGACGGTTTTGCTCTCGATATGCTTTTATTTATTTTCTCCTCACTCTTTTCAATAAATATCATATAGAAGGAAATACAAAGAAATTAATGAAATGCTTCTCTGTTAAATTGTAAGACACCTTACTTGATTTCTATATAAGGATTCTATTTTTTTTAATAATCTTGAATAAATAATAAATGTTCAAAGACTCATTTTTTTTTACAATATACACTTATACTCCTCCATAGGTACTCGAACTTTGTTGGGATTTCGATGAAGCTCAATTGAGCAACTGAATATTGTCAATAGGGGGTGAATTGACTTTTTGAGTTGATGGAGTAAGGAGTATAAAAAGATAGACATTTTGCTCAAGGATTTATAGTGGTTTGACTTCTTAACTAAGTCTACATCCACTACCTTAGCTCTTCACTAATCCCTAGCTTCTCACATGCTAAGCTAGAAGCAATCCCCTTTTCAAAATGTATAAAAGAAATAAATAAGAAACCTCTAAAAGGTAGGTGTTTACAAGATTAAGCTCACTAAAACACTAATATTTACAATATAAAGGAAAATATCTTGTGTTTGATTGCTTTTATAGGTGTTCTAACCCTTCTTCAAGTATCCTCAACTTGTTTTTATATCCTGGAATGAGCTTGTGGTTGTTTCTAGCTGTTGGAGATTATTTTTCTGCAAAATAAAACTGCTCAGGACAGGGAGTATCGATACTAATTTCAAGAGTATCATTACTACCTAATATTTAAATAAACTAGTCATCAAAGACTGTTGGGCTTGACCAGTATCGGTACTATGCTTTATGGTAATACCATTGTGTAAAGTAGTATCAGTACCCTTTGAGTATCGATACCTATTTTGCATTCTGAAATTTGAACAATTTGGAAAACAACTGGTAGTATCGATACTTCTCTTACCTTTGGTATCGGTACTACGTGAACAGTATCGATACAGTTCATGCAATATCGATACAGTTCATGCAATATCGATACTGTAAGAACAATATCAGTACTATGCATCCAGAAAAACGTTTTGTGCTAAAATTCTAGTTTAATGGACTTTGAATTATTTTTGAAAACTTTGAACAAATTCAATCAAGTCCAAAAATATTTTGCCTTAATTTATTATCTAAAAAAACATAGTTCAACAAACTTAAAACTTCAAGAGATAACAACAAATATTTCAACTACTGAACTCACTTGGTTGGTGTCAATATAAAGATTTCCTAAATTGCCTATACATATCTTTTATCCAATCACATATCACTTAAATCATGGCCCATAAATAAGAGGATAACACAAACTTAAGCATGTTCAAATTCACGTTCTCAATGTCACCTAGACTAAGACTCAGTCAACCATAATCACTTAAATTTTAAAACACTTCAAACAATAAATAATGTATTTGCTTATATGTATAATTATATTACCTTATATTTGTACCAATATATATATATATTATTACTATAATTAGGAATTTTCTTTAAAATATTTTTTTAATGATGAATTTGATTTATTATAGTATTATTATTTGATACACATGTTGTGTAAGATTTATTTTACATAACATGCCTATTTTAATACCAAATCTTAAATTATAAATTGTTAACCTCAAATCATGGACCTTTAAACTGTGAATTTTAAAACCTTGAACGTAAATTTTAAATTCTAAATTCTAACCCTTAAATCTTAAATTCTTTATTTATGGTCTGTTTGTTTGGCTGTAATTGGTTTTCCGGAAAATGAATTACTGCAATTTGAATTACTGGAATTTGAATTACTGTAAAATGAATTACTGGAATTTGAATTCTGAAAAATGAATTATATTTTTGGAAAATGAATTACATTTCCGGAAAACATCTGGAAAACGTTTTATGATGTTTGGAAGATGTTATTTAAACATTTTTTCCACTAGTTGAAGAGTTTTTTAAAAATTATTTATTACAAATATTAAATATAATAAATAATATTATTTATCATAAAACTTAATATTATTATTTTAAAATATTAAAATAATTTATTTATTATTAAATATTATTTTTTATAATTTTATTAATAAAAATATTAATATTGGTATATTTTAGTGAAATAAAATATTATAAATTATATTAATTATTTATTAAAGTAATAATGTTATATTATATTTTAAAAATATTAATTAGTATATTTTAAATATCTTTACTAAAATATTATTTAAATATATAAATAATATTATTCATTATTAAATATATAAAAAAATTATTATATATTATTAAAATAAAAATATAATATCTTATATTATATTATTATAATATAATTTATTATTTTATATAATATTAAAAACATAATATTATATTATTATAAATATTAATAAATATATTTTAAATATTTTAATAAATAATATTTTGATGAAAATGATATTAAAATATTTTATTAATATTAAATTCATAAAATAAAATTATTTTGAGTATTTTTGCTTTAAAGTGAAAAGTTCGGAAAATGACTTACAGAAAATGAATCCGTAAGTCATTTTACAGAAAACACAAAGGAAATCCTGTTATTAGGAAAATGAATTACGTGAAACAAACACGGGAAAACATTTTCCGGAAAACGAATTACGTGAAACAAACACGAGAAAACATTTTTCAGAAAACGAATTACATGAAACAAACACGGGATTTCGGAGAAAACCAATTCCGTAATTGATTTTACGGCAAACAAACAGACCCTAAAGTTTACATAGATTGCGTATCAGATAAATTTCCTTTATTATAACTCATTTCTTTATTATAGGTACTATTTTTTTTTAAATCACTGACCCGATCTAATTTAAATTATTAAATTTTCATATTATCTTCCTAACCCTATGATAAGCATACATATATTTTATCTTCCTTGTCACTCTGATAAGCATGGCGATAATGGCAACTAATGCTATGCTTTCACTCTCACTCTCCATATGCACTTTCTTCATCCAAACGGTACTTTCTTCATCGACAGATTCATTCGTCTTTGGAGGCTGCAGTCAACCACAATACACACCCAACTCACCCTTCGAGTCCAACCTCAACTCGCTACTCACTTCCCTTGTCAACTCAGCCACTTACTCCTCCTACAACAGCTTCACCATCATGGGCTCAACTCCCCAAGACGTCGTCTACGGCCTCTACCAATGCATGGGGGATCTCGGCGTCGGCGAATGCCGGGATTGTTTGTCTGAGGGGATCGGACGGTTGAAAAGCGAATGTTGGGCGGCGGTTTACGGCGATTTGTACTTGGGGAAGTGTTATGCACGGTTCTACACCGTCGGGGCTTGGGGAATTGCAGCTAAAAGACGTTCGCCATCGTCATTGGATTATTTGCTGGTAATGGGATTGCTGTCATCGCCATTTTTCATGCTTTCCTAAAGAAAGGTGACGGAAAATGGTTAAATATTACAAAAGCCCTTCAACTTCATTTCTTTATTTAAATAAGTCCTTATACTTTGTTTGATACTTTATAGGTTAAATTATGCATATAGTCAGCTAGCTATCACATTGATTACGTTTTGATCACCCAACTATTTTATTTTTAAAACCATCATTAATGCTATATATGGTTTTATTCTGGTCACCCGTCGTTAAAAAAGTAAAGATGAAAATGTGTCACTATAAGATAATGCCATATCATCATTAGAATTTTTTTTTAATATATCATATAGTAGTTCTATTAATTTTTTTTAATGACGGATGACCAAAATAAAACCAAAATATAACATAAGTGATGATTAAAAAAACTAGTTGGATGATCAAAACAAAACCAAAATGATAGTTGGATGACTAAATATGTAATTTACCTTACTTTTAAATAAACTAATATCCTTTTAAGGAAATCTTTATTAAGGAAAACCACATTAAGCAACTAGTTACTTCTTAAGGTTAAATTCTGATTCCAGTCTCTCTAGTTTTCTTTGACTTGGGATTTAGTCTCGATATTTTACTTTCTTTCAATTCTAGTAAAAATATAGAGACTAAATTTTAAAAATTGGATTCTGAAATATACTGAATCGATTCTTTGGACTTGAATGAATAACTGAATCATTGTTCCAATGCGATGCAGATGGCAAGAATTCCACAACAAAAGGAATTTGTTGATCTCTTTTTCCTCCATGAAAAATGGAAAGCTTATAAAGGAGGGGAAAAGGATACTTTCCCCTCCACTTACTGATGGGCATGGGTCAGGTCGGGTCGGATTTTTGGTCCACCCGACCTAATCCGACCAAAACAAAATTTCACCCGACCCGACATATAACTTATAAATCCGACTCATCCCGACCCGAAATAATAAAAAAATATTATTTTTATTCAATAAAAAACGACTTAATTGAAAAATTATATATAGAGGAGTATTATTGTAATTATTCCTAAATATATAAGATAAATTATATATATTTTTGGGGTCAGGTCGGGTCAAGTATTTTTCACCCTAAACCCGAACCCGACTCGAACATCACACTTAAAAAAACCCGATCCGACCCGAACTAGATTTTTTTTTTTAAAAAAAACCCGACCCGGTCAGAACCCATTAGGTTCGGGTCCGATGCCCATCCCTACACTTAACAAAGTTGGATCGTCTTAATGTTATAAAACAAAGGGATGCATATTCTCTAGGATCAGTATACCTAAAAATATACCAACCCATCAAGTAACCTCAGTGGTTAAAAGGAATGTTCTTTTCCAAGAGATCCTAATTTTGAGATTTGCGTCTGTAGAGTGTATGTATATTGTTAACGATTAAGAAAAATTCTGAAAAGATACTATCAACATATCCGACATATTTTTAGAGTATTATGTTCAAAATACATTAAAGAAGATTAATGGCCCTAAATATTATGGTAAAAGCAAAGGTGCATATTAATCAACAGTTCCAATGCATACAATCCGTTTCATCAGAGCTAAGCCTAAATTCTTTCGAAAAAAAATTATTTGGATCACAAAAAACATTAGTTTGAAGGAAATTCAATGAAGAGTTTTACCACAATTTCAACTTGTACAAATGGGGTCCTTTGTCCTTCCTTCAACTGCAACCGAGATGATAGGAAAGCGACGGCACCGCTGCTTATTTGGCGGATCTCGAGTGCTTGATCAGCCAATCGATGACAGCGTCTATATTTATGGAATCCTTGCATGAAATCATGTAGCAGCACACCTCTCTATCACTGATCGAATCGAGACCCCTATGAAACAAATGTTGAACGAAATAATAACACGCTTTTAGATTCTCAAAAAGAGAAGAGAAACGAGTTTTCTCGAGGTAAATCATCAAAGAAGAGAAGACAAATACGACTTATCATTAAGCTTGTAAAACTTACAGTTGATCCACCAAAGCTTGCTTCGAAAGAGCTTCCGACTTGTCGATTTTGTTGCCAAGAACAAGTAATGGAATTCCACTCAAGGAAGGTTTTTTCAAGAGGTCGTGTAACTCGGTTCGGGATATCGGAACACTGTCTCTATCGGCAGCATCAACTACATATCTGCCATTATATATGTGTTAAACAGTAAATAAAGATGACAAAAGCTAATAGATTACGAGAATGAAAGCATTACACGATAGCGGAGACGCCGCGACAATAACGTTCCCACATTGTACGGAACCTCCGTTGCCCTCCAAGATCCCATAGTTTTATCGTCACGTTTCCCTTTGTAACTTTTCTCATATTAAACCCAACCTGGATTCGACATTCGACGATTTTCTTTTAAGATATCCTCAAGGTGAATCATTATATCTGATTTTGTCGAAATAAAAAGGTACCTACGGTGGGAATCATGTCTTCACTATAGCCCCCTGTCTGGTAAACATAAGAAAGTAAAGTATCAGATAAAACCATTAAAACTACTTATTACAAAACAGCAGTAAGAAAGAACGAAAGAAATACGTTCTGTGTTACTCACGGCAATGGCATTGACGAGAGATGTTTTTCCAGCATTCTGAAGACCGACGAGCGATAGTTCCATTTCCTGCTTAAAGAATAAGCTGCAATGCAGAATTGCAGATACTCGAAATAAGTACGGAAATGCCTCAGATTCTCGGAACAAACAATACAATGAACTTCGATTTCTAGATGACTTTACAAATCGACAAACCCGATAAGAGAAGGAAGCTAGGTAGCATTGCTTATATTTTGGGCATAAGGATGAGTTAATGACCCAAACTTGAAGTTCTAATGACTACTAAAACGCAGAAAGGAAAAGAGAACATTTTAGTACTATATCGGTTTACAGTCGGCATTAACATCACTACTCGATTTCAATTTCCGAACATTTAGCAAAAAACCAAAAAGTGTAAAGCCAAGACATGACAAAACAATCGATTTAACTAAGAACCCTATCACCTCGACTCTGCTGAATGAAAATCCAATAAGCCGAACACGGAATCTCAAAGAACAGATGAACTCATGCCAATGATACCTTCCACTATTAGAAAAAGAAATGTTAAACATTAAATCATATTACCCACTAAAAACACTAGGATTTTATGATTAGATCGTGTCGAACACTCAAATTAAATGGATTCAAATCGACTCGAGTTTTGAGCGAGCCAAAGCGAGCTACTTATACCTGACTCGACACAGGAGCAACTCAGAAGAAATAATATATTAAGTTATAAAATTTTAAATTAAATTATTAATAATATTAGCATTTAAATGTCATTTTTTTCTAGGAAAATGACATATGAGATTTTCATGTACTTATGCTCAGATTTGAGCTCGAATTTCAACCGAGCTGAGAATATTCTGATTTCAATCTTTTTCTAGCTCAACTCGAGCTTCAGTTTTTATTTCGAACTTGACAATTTTAAGTTCCTAAGATTTCGAGTCTCCACTACTCGGCTCGTTTACATCCTAGTTAGAATAGTCGGTACTTCTAACGGTAAGGTGTATTGGGTGTTCAAGACCTAGCAAAGTTGACGATTTTCCCAGCAAGCCATGCCAAGCACAGCAAAACAAAACCAAAACCCAGTGTTGCATAGTCTTACAGAATCAATATTTCTCCAATACCCAATCTCTAATTTGTTCTTAAAATTCCTTTGCAACTGATAGCAGTTGACAGAGCTTTTTAGGATTTTTTTTCTTCATGGAATAGATTAATATCACAAAGGAGAATTACCTGCGGAGCCAATTAAGAAGTGAATCCCACAAACCCATTTCGAGAAAACAGCAGAGCCGAGAGGGGAAAACGGAGAAGAAAGCAACGTAGAAAGGAAGAAAAAGATAGCAAAGGAAACTTCGCCGACTAATTTGTCTCTTCTTTCTTTTGTTTTTATCTCTTTCTGAGTTTGTAATCAAAGCTTACTTGCAGATGTGGTTACCACTAAATGAACAATACAATGACAAAAAGATTATATAAAATGTAATCGGTAAGAAGGTACTACAGGTTTCTATTATATTTATTTTGAAAAATAATTAATATGATACTCGTCTTAATATAAATTTAATTCAAAAAATAAATTTTATGTAAATTTTTAACTAATTTTTTTCATCGTTTGACCGTTATGATTTTGACGTGATAGTTTATCGTGTTGACATAACGATCCATGATACTAACATGATAGTTCATCTGTCATGTTTAAGTTACAAATTTAACATATCTATCATGTTATTCGTCATGTTATCAACCGTTATAGACTGTTATGTCAATATAGTTAACTGTCACAGTAATATTATAAATCACCACGTAAATACCGTAACGGTCAACAACGAAAAATATTAGTCAAAAAATCACACTAAACTTATTTTTTAAGTTGAAAGGTCAAATTAAAAGAAAAATAATACGATGACGATATTTTTTTAATAGTACAAGTTCTATAATGTTTTTTTTGTCAACATAGTTTCATATACCATATCAGTAGTTATCATTAATTATTATAAACTATAATGTTAATATCATAAATTATTATATAAGTGTCGTAAATTATCATATCAATATCACAATAATCCATAATAGATAACGTGGATCGAAGAGTAGTTTTATGTTTATTTTTGAAATTGAAAGATCACATTGAATAAAAAAAATATATCATTTTAATTTTTTTAAATATAAATATTTGAGATACTGTTTTAATTAAATTATATAATTTATTTATTCAACAAAATTAATTAATTAAGAGAAAACAAAATTCAAATTTCCGTACTCAAAGACAATATAACATTTAGAGATAATAATTTGTGGTTGATGTATTACTGTCATGTATCATATAAATTGTGGTTGACACATTCTTGTCAGTGCTGCACATTAATTGAGGTCCAAAATAGTTGCATTATTTTATATCATACGATTTAAGATTTAAATCTTTTATCATATAACTTATATTAAGTTTAAATATTATTTATTTTAAAAATTAAAAGTAAAGTTGATAAAACTATGAATCTGACGGGTTAAAAATACTTTTTTC